GGCTGTAAGGAGGTCAAGGGCCTGACGGTTCTGTAAAGTGACTGTTGTGAGTGAGGTGACCTGTCACTGGAGGGAGGAGATGCTGTCTATGCTTAGTTCTTCTGAGAGTATTTGATAGAACTGAGAGGCAGTAGCAGGGCCCGCTATGCCAGGTCCAGTTGCAGGAAGGGTCCCCGCCCCAATTAAAAGGTACAATTAGTGTCCTACAGGAGCCGGGGCGGGGGGGGGCTGAAGTTAGTCCAAGTCCCGTCTCCATCTCTTCATCTGTCTGGAGGGTGATGTCAGGGACAAGCCAAACGAATACGCAAGAAATCACATTAGGGGGGCAGGCAGCAGGATAACGTAGTTTTACAAAGGAAATATATTCCGGTTTTAGGGCATGGGTGAGGAGGGGGTGAGTGAGTGGCAGCATTTGGTGTCAGTGAGGCAGAGTGTGGGCAGGTCCCGCACAACGAGTGTGGGCAGGTCCCGCACAAGGCTGACAGTCCCCACTGAGGTGACATTAGAGGAAAATGAAGAGATGTTTGTGGAAACGTCACGGGCTGCATCGACAGGGAGGTGGTGACCACAAAAAGTTTCTCACAAAGTGGGAGACAGATGAGTCACCTGGAGGCCAGTCTGATTCTCTGAGGACTTCCAGGTGAGGGGGAGCATTGAGATAGGAGGGAAAACACGGGGAGGATGCGAAGGGTTAGGAGCCAAAAGAATTTAAAGGGGACATTGTCACGATGACATTGCTAAGAAGCGTCCTACTGGCAGGAGGTAAAGGAGGCCAGGAGAAACCTTCCTGTAACGTCCCACCGCTCTGGGGCAGCTGCTGCCAGTCCTGCAGCAGGCACTAGAACAGACGGTGTAATAGCAGCTCTTGTGCGAGGGACGTGGAGCGGGCCTGCAAGAGCGAGAGGATGATCGCCGGGGGAAGATCGTCCTTCTGGGACTGGGGGAAGAGCGAAGGTCCTGGAGATTTTCAGGTTTGTGGCTCCTCAAATGGATGAAGTGTGAGGAGACGGCAGGTTGGGGTTGAGCAGAGGGACCCCTCTGGCTTGGTGTTAACAGTTTTTGGGTAGAGTCTCAGGTGCTAGTTTTACCAGGATAAGCGATACCAAGGGGCCTTCCTAGTACTTTCACTGCCGTGGGGGTGGCGAGAAGTGCTGTGTAAGGCCCTTCCCAGCATGGCGAGAGGGGCTTTGGGAGTCAGGTTTTAATACACACTTGCTGTCCCGGGCTCAGTTTAAAGTCTGAGGGGGTGGTGGGAAAGGATGAGGTGATAGAAGGTTGGCCTGTTCCCTAAGAAGATCCCTAATGAGCGAAAGAGTAGGGAGACAGTGGCCTAAGGGCGACGAGCTGGAAGGGAGAGGTGTGAGTGATTGGTCTGCTGTACATAAGTTTGAGGGGGCTGAGGCCTGTGGGCTTGCGGGGGGCAGCCCGTAGGCGAGTGAGTGACTGGTGGGGAGGCCAAAACGAGCGATGATTTCTGAGGTGAGAGCATGCGTCACTGCTGCAGCATCCTCTGAAGTGCAGGGAAAAGCCTCACTCCAACCTGAAAAGGTATCTACTGATGTTAGAAGACAGCGTGTCCTTTTGTGGGGAGAGTAATATAAGGGCTGAGGAAGGCATAGTAGGGGTTCGTAGCCTATATGACCTGAATTATGGAAACCTAAAAGGATTTGCTCAGCTTGTGTGGTAGGGAGGACATAGCGACTGGAGAGAGGATACCAGTTGTCCTTCCTCTGTGCCCCCAGCTGTTGGAGGTGTTGTATTTCTTGGAGTGTGTATTGGGGTAAGGGTGTGGGGGCCATGAGAAGGACCTGAGTGGGAGAGGAAGAGTGGGGGCCTGGTGACTGAGCAGCCTGTTTTGCAGTTAGATCTGCCAGTTTGTTTCCCTGGGCTATGGGGTCATTGGAGGTTTGGTGTCCTCTGCAGTGTATAACCCCAACCTCCTTTGGGAGTTGAGCAGCCTCAATAGCTTGTGTTAGATTTACTGTGGCATAACCCGCCCAGGGGGCAGGCGTGGAGGTGGCACTCCCATCTATGAACCGTGTGATAGGATGCGGGGAGATGTGAGGAAAGGGATTGAGAAAGAGGTCTAAAGCCTCATGCAATTGTGTTCTAAGGGTCATGAGTGTTTTGTGATGAGAGTGGCTGGATTTAAGGGAGGGCAAGGTTTAAAGGAGAGCTGGGAGTTTTCAATGAAAGTAAGGTGAATAAGTTGTAGGCGGGAAAGGGAGAGAATTGACTTGGCCTTATGGCTGAGAGGGTCTTGACTGTTGTTTAAAAGCTAGTTTAGAGCTTCCTTGTGTTAAAAGGGTGGCTGCCGCCAAGGCCCATAAACAGGGGTCCCATCCCCAGGTTGTGGTATCAAATTGTTCAGAGAGGTATGTAACTGGGGAGAAAATATCTCCTGCCTCTTGTCCTAAAACCCTGACTGCCAATCCTTGGGTTTTGGTGACATATAGGATAAAAGGATGGGATAGGTTTGGGGAGGGATAGAGCTGAGGCTGCAAGGAGGGCAGCTTTTAATTGCTGGAAGGGAGAATGAATGGGCTTTGTGGGATCTAAGGGAATGGCAGGATCCCCTTTGGCTGCCTCATAAGGTGGTTTTGTAGCATTCCAAAGTTAGGAATCCATAGGCGAAGATACCCTGCAAGCCCCAAGAGAGAAAGGATTTCACTCATTATGGTAGGAGTAGGGAGTTCAGAAACTAGACTCTTGTGATCCACTGTTACTTCTCTGGTATTGGGGGTGAGGTGGACTCCCAAATAGGCAACTGAAGGAGAAGAAATTTGGGCCTTGCTGGGGACACTTGATATCCCCTGGGGGCCAGGAAATTAAGGAGAGCAACAGTGTAGGCCTGTGAATCCTCATAGGAGGGGCTACAAAGGAGGTCATCCACATATTGTATTAAAGTGCTAGAGGTTGGAGACGTTCAGGTAATTCTTGATCTAAGGCCTGGATGGAAAAGTGGGGTCTATCCTGAAACCCCTGAGGTAGCACTGTCCAGGTGAGTTGTTGGGAATGACATGTGTCAGGATCAGTCCTGTACTAAACGGTATGAGCCATTAGGCTTTATAACCAGAAGGGTGGGTGTGTTGAAAGGTGAGCGGGTAGGCCATAAGAGATAAGAAGAAAGGAGTTTGTGTATGACGGGTTTTAAGCCTATTAGGTGTTTGTTAATGATGGGGTACTGTGGGACATCAGGGAACAAAGAGGGGTTCAGCAACTTAACAAGGATAGGGGAGTGGTGCATAGCAATGGAGGGAGAAGAAGTGTCCCATACTAGGGTTTAACCTTGTCTGAGGGGAAGGGGAAGGTGGAAGCCTCAGGGGCCAGGTCTGGGTACAGCCTGTAACAGGAGTATTGTAGCTGGAGTTAAAGTGTTTAGGGTAAGAGTAGCTTTGAATTTGAAAAGAATGTCCCATCCCAGTAAGGGGGTTGGGCATTGAGGCATTATTAAAAATTTGTGTTTGAATTGGGTGTGATGTAGGGTGCAGGAAAGGGCTTGAGTGATCCGCGGGTAGTATTCTGATCCCGTGACCCTTACTATTGTGATAGAGGATGGGGTAGTTGGTCCTCCATATTTAGGAAGGGTAGAGTAAGTGGCCCCTGTATTGATGACAAAAGAGATAGGCTTACCTGCCACGAGGTGAGTTACCATGGGCTCAGACATGGTGACCTCCATGGGGGCCTTGGGCCCTGGGCATCATCAGTCCTCCTCCTGGGCAAAGCTGAGAAGCTCCAGTAGGGATGGCCATGAAGCCAAAGGCTGTGGGTTGGGGACCGGGCCACTCCCTCTCTGGCAAGTGGAACAGTCAATCCCCCAGTGATATGGCTGTTTGCAGTGAGGACAGGGCCTGGAAGGGGGGCCTGGGGTTACAACAGACCCATACCAAGTGGCCCAGTTGACCGCATTTGAAGTGGTTCCTGGGTGTCTTGCCTCTTGAGGCAGCCAGCTTTGGAGTACGTGAGCCACAGATGGCATTAGCCAGGAGCTGGTATTTGGCCTGATCTCTTTTACAGTTTTTTCAAATATCAGGGGCTGATTGGGTAATGAAATGAGAGTGTAAGAGGACCATGCCTGCAGGGGAGTTTGGGTCTATACGTGTATATTCATGTAAAGCCTCAGAGAGGTGGGTTAGGAACTCATTGGGATTTTCAGTGGATCTCTGTGTGATTTCTCTAAGCTTGTCATAATTGACTGATTTGTGAGTAGCCTCTTGGAGGCCATAAATCAAGTGTGTGATCATGTTATCCTGGAGATCCCAATCCCCATGGCTGGCCTGGTGGTCCCAATTTGGGTCCATGCAAGGGACTGCAACAGCTCCCACAGGCTGCTTGTTATTTTGAGCATGTACCTCATCTTCCTGTTGTTGAGCTGCCATCCAGAACTGCTCCCTGCCTTCAGGGGATGGATATGTGTCTGGGTCAGACTGGAACGATCCCAGTCATTTTTTGACTTGGAAAAGGTCTGAAAGAGAAAAGGGGATATGTACCCAGACAAATCCTTTCATCCCTGCCACTTCACGGAGGGGGTATAAAGGAGCTGGAGCTGAGGCAGGGTTGTTATCTGACAAAGGGGGAGAAGGATAGGGGGGTTGGGTGGCTGAGGGAGAAGAGAGGGAAAAGGTGGAAGGGCTGGTGAAGGATTTGGAGCATAAGGAGGTAGTCAAGGTGGCCTGAATGAGGAGCAGGGTAGGCTGATGGATTAAAAGATTAATCTGAGTCCACAAGGGGAGGTCGGGCATGAGCTAGGAGACTTTGAGATGTAGGACAGATTTGACAGAGAGAAGGACACATTCAGAGATAGAAGAAGGCTTGCTGTTTCAGTGACAAAAGTTGTCTAGGAGAGTATCTAAATTGAGAGTGCCATCTTGTGGTCACCAGGATCCATTGTAACGAGGCATTAGAATATTAATGTCTCCCTGGAGGCTGAGAGGTTGTCCAGGAGACAGCCTAGATGCATAGAGCATGGAGTACATTAGAAAATGAGACGTTTGGCCTCCGCAGGGGGCGATGCTGCAGCGCGGCTGTGGGCTGAGACAGCTCCGGGGAGGACCCGGCGCTCGGGCCTCCGCTCGGCTCCTTTCTGGCCCCGAGATGCCTAAAAAAGTTGGTGCGACGAAGAAGGGTAAAAGCCAGAGCAGAGAACCGGAGAGACCACTTCCTGCCTTAGGTCCTGTGACAGTGATCCTAAAGGCTGTGTCGTCATAGCCATCCATGCCAAACCTGGCTCCAAACAAAATGCTGTAACAGATTTGACAACTGAAGCCGTAAATGTAGCTATTGCAGCACCTCCATTAGAGGGAGAGGCTAATGCTGAGCTCTGTCGCTACCTTTCCAAGGTCTTAGAACTCAAAAAGAGTGATGTGGTTTTGGATAAGGGTGGTAAATCTCGTGAAAAGGTTGTGAAGCTCTTGGCCTCTGCAACTCCAGAAGAGGTCTTGGAGAAGTTAAAAAAGGAAGCTGAAAAAAAATAAAAACAAAACATGAAAAATACATTTTTGGTAGGGCTGGCCTGTGGCTCACTTGGGAGACTGTGGTGCTGATAACACCAAGTCAAGGGTTAAGATCCCCTTGCTGGTCATCTTTAAAAAAGCAAAAAAATACATACTTGGGAAACTTTTTTATTGCTAGGGATGAAGATGCTATTGAATAGAAAAATATATTTAAATGCACAGAAGAACATGGGAGAAAAATATATGTATATTCACATAAGAATAAGACTAAAAAAGGTAGAAATTTTAAAAGTACAATGAGAAAAACAGGTTCTAAAATCCCTGACCACAAACAGCTTGGAACATGTTATTCTGATTTCATGGTATTACAAAATAACAGAGCTGGAAAGGATACTCAAGATGACCTGATTTAACTCCTTC